AAAATAGCTGAAAATGAGCTGAAAATAGCTGAAATCGTTCTTAATATAGCTGAAATTGAGCTTAAAATCACACATGAGGGATTTTTGGGAAATTTGAGGTCGCGAAAAATTTTCGAAATCTCAATTGTTGATAAATTAGCTCGCGATTTGGTGTTTTTAGGGTAAAACAAGTACGAGAAACACAATGGTGATAAAATGCGAGCTGAGAAACTTTTAGTTTTCGAAATATTTAGGTTGCAATTTGAAAAAGGGCCTAAAATTCCCACATCTTCTCATGTGTGCTTAAAATAGTTGAAATTTACCTAAAACTGGTTAAAAATGAGCTGAAAATAGTTGAAATTGAGCTAAAAATAAGTAAAAATAAGCTTAAAATGGCTGAAATTGAACTCAAACTGTCAAAAATCAGTCAAAAACCGTGAAATTAAGAAGTCGGAACTTTCGATTTTCGGTCAAAAAACAGATTTTGACTGAAAACTGTTCAAAAATTCTGAAACAAAAAAATCTGAAAATCGCCGAAAATCGATTTTTTTAACTTCAATTTTTTCCAGGTCCGTATGTCGTTCTGCAAAGCGCTGGTCCTTCTCCGCAACCAGGACATGCTGGACCCCATCGTCCTCCTGGAGACCTTCTTCGAATTGGTGAAAGTTGAGGATAAAGTGCTTCGAAAGTTCCTGCTAGCCTCGATCAGTGCCCATTTGAAGCGTGTCTATCATAAGAAGAAGGATGTCAAAATGTTGGGAAGAATTCAGAATTTGTGTTTTTCCAAAATCAAGGATTCGAGATCCATCGTCGCGCGTGCCGCTCAGTTGGTTTGTATCGATGCGTTCCGTCGGAAGTTCTGGAGAGACGCTCGTACGGCTAACGTCATTGCTGACGCTTGTTTCCATAAGGTTCCCAAGATTCAGGTGAGTAGCTGGAAATTTTTGACTGAAATTGCTAGAAAAATGAGCTAAAAAAGGCTGAAATTTGGCTGAAATTGCTAGAAAAATAGGATAAAAATGGCGGAAATTTGGCTGAAATTGCTAGAAAAATAGGATAAAAATGGCAGGAATTTGGCTGAAAATCGCTAGAAAAATAGGGTAAAAATGGCTGGAATTTGGCTGAAAATCGCTAGAAAAATAGGGTAAAAATGGCTGGAATTTGGCTGAAATTGCTAGAAAAATAGGAAAAAATGGCTGGAATTTGGCTGAAATTGCTAGAAAATTGAGCTAAAGAAGGCTGGAATTTGGCTGAAATTGCTAGAAAAATAGGAAAAAATGGCTGGAATTTGGCTGAAATTGCTAGAAAATTGAGCTAAAGAAGGCTGGAATTTGGCTGAAATTGCTAGAAAAATAGGAAAAAATGGCTGGAATTTGGCTGAAATTGCTAGAAAATTGAGCTAAAGAAGGCTGGAATTTGGCTGAAATTGCTAGAAAAATAGGAAAAAATGGCTGGAATTTGGCTGAAATTGCTAGAAAATTGAGCTAAAGAAGGCTGGAATTTGGCTGAAAATCGCTAGAAAAATAGGAAAAAAATGGCTGGAATTTGGCTGAAATTGCTAGAAAATTGAGCTAAAGAAGGCTGGAATTTGGCTGAAAATCGCTAGAAAAATAGGAAAAAAATGGCTGGAATTTGGCTGAAATTGCTAGAAAATTGAGCTAAAGAAGGCTGGAATTTGGCTGAAAATCGCTAGAAAAATAGGGTAAAAATGGCTGGAATTTGGCTGAAATTGCTAGAAAATTGAGCTAAAGAAGGCTGGAATTTGGCTGAAATTGCTAGAAAAATAGGAAAAAATGGCTGGAATTTGGCTGAAATTGCTAGAAAATTGAGCTAAAGAAGGCTGGAATTTGGCTGAAATTGCTAGAAAAATAGGAAAAAATGGCTGGAATTTGGCTGAAATTGCTAGAAAATTGAGCTAAAGAATGCTGAAATTTGGCTGAAAATCGCTAGAAAAATAGGATAAAAATGGCTGAAATTTTGCTGAAATTGCTAGAAAATTGAGCTAAAGAAGGCTGAAATTTGGCTGAAAATCGCTAGAAAAATAGGAAAAAAATGGCTGGAATTTGGCTGAAATTGCTAGAAAAATGAGCTAAAAAGGCTGAAATTTGGCTGAAAATCGCTAGAAAATTAGACTAAAAATGCCTGAAATTTGGCTGAAAATCGCTATACAAATTTGATTTTCGAGTCGAAATTATGCGATTTTTAGTCTAAAAACTGCGATGATTTTTCAGCAAAAATCACTGAATTTCAGCCAAAAATGCGCCAATTTTTAATCGCAAATGCTGAATATGTTCCTCTCTGAAATTGGCTGTTTTCGGCTCTTAACCCATTATTTCCAGTCTGAAACTCTGATTTTCAGCCAAAAAATCTCGAATTTTTGGCCTAATTTAATTATTTCTGGCTCAAAAATCTGGTTTTTTTAATATGTTTCATTCTGAAATTCGCTGATTTTTTCAAATCATTTTTGGCTCTAAAAACTGCGATTCAGCGAATTTTTTATCTGGAAATTCGTAATCTGTCAGCTGAAAATCTCCCCTTTTAGTCTTAAATTAATTCATTTTGGCCCAAAAATCGCCTGGAATTTTCAGCCCGAAATCCAATAATATTCAAGGTTTTTCATGTGTAAATATGGCTGTTTTTGGGTCCAAAATCATCATTTTCAGCTCAAAAAAAAAATTTGGAATTTGAGCTAAATTTCACAATTTTTCATTACCCAAATTCCTAATTTTTTGACTCTAAAAACTGCGATTTTCGGCGAATTTTCGACTATTTTCAGCCAAAAAATTCCAGTTAAATTCCCATTTTTCAGCCACTTTCAGCCAGCCTTGAAAAATACCACATTTTCAGTCAATTTATTTCGACGAGACGATAATCGGTAGTTTTTGGCTCAAAAATGTGCGAATTTTAGGTAGAAAATTGGTTACCTGCGATTTTCAGCCAAAAAATCTCCGAATTTTCGGCTTAAAAATCGCTTATTTTCCAAAATGCCAAGAACGGCGATTTTAAGAAAGTTTTGATTAGTTATATTACCTGAAAAACGAGCAATTCTAGCCAAAAATTCATTATTTTCAGCCAAAAAATTCCAGCTAAACCCCCCAATTTGTTCCAGGTGACATCACTGAAATTCTTCCTGGGCTCCGAAAACGACAACGGCGAGGAGGGCGACGACGACGACTCGGCGATCGATTCGGACGCCGAGGACAATAAGAAGACGTTGAAAGAGGTGATGACGTCGTTTCGCAACGTCAAAAAGACAAGAAAACGGGAGAAGAATGTGGAGAGGGCCAAGAAGATGATAAGTAAGAAGAAGAAGCAGAAGAAGGAGGGACGATCCAAGGAATGCAATCTGATGGCCATCCAATCACTCTACGATCCCCAAGAATTCACTGATAAGCTGTTCGGAGCACTCGAATCCAAGAAAATGGACAAATTCGAGGTCAAGGTGCTCAAAATTGCACTTTGTGCTAGGATTATTGGAATTCATCGTCTTCACACCCTCAGCTTCTATTCCTATCTTCATAGGTAGGGTTTTTTGGCTTTTTCTGGGTCAAAAATGGTTGAAAATGGTGCTAGAAATGCTGTCGAGGCTGGAAAAAATTGGCTAAAAATGCTCTAAAAATGTGTCAAATTTGGGTGCGAATGGTGCTAGAAATGCTGAGAATCGAGTTTTCAGAGTTGGAAAACTTGAAAATTGGTCTGAAATTGCTTTTTTAGGTCATTTTGACTTCGTGGCCTAACTTTAGCAAATTCGGTTTTCTAGGCCAACACTCCAAAATTCCTTAAAAATGCTCTTCCATGTCCCTGGTGTAATTTCTAGGTAATTTTGAAGTGATGACCGAACTTTTCCAAGTTTGGTTTTCTAGGCCACCACTCCAAAATGACCTAGAAATGACCTACAATGACCCTGTTGTGTTTTTTAGGCAATTTGGCATAGTGGCCGAACTTTTGCAAACTTGGTTTTCTAGGCCACCATGTAGAAATGGCCTAAAAATGACCTACCATGCCCCTGGAGTGTTTTCTAGGTAATTTTGACATGGTGGCCGAACTTTTGCAAGTTGAGATTTCTAGGCCACCATGTCAACATGGTCCAGAAATGACCTGATATTCATCTGTTGTGTTTTCTATTATCATTTTGACATGGTGGCCTAACTTTTGCAAATTTGGTTTTCTAGGCCACCACTTCAAAATGACATAAAAATGCCCTAAATTGACCCTGGTGTGATTTCTAGGACATTTTAACATGGTGGCCTAACTTTTGCAAATTTGGTTTTCTAGGCCACCACTTCAAAATGACATAAAAATGCCCTAAATTGACCCTGGTGTGCTTTCTAGGACATTTTAACATGGTGGCCTAACTTTTGCAAATTTGGTTTTCTAGGCCACCACTTCAAAATGACATAAAAATGCCCTAAATTGACCCTGGTGTGCTTTCTAGGACATTTTAACATGGTGGCCTAACTTTTGCAAATTTGGTTTTTTAGGCCACCACGGTAAAATGACCTAAAAATGACTTACCATGCCCCTGGTGTAATTTCTATGTCA